ATGACATATTAATTAATAAACTGGAACGGTACGGGATCAGGGGGGTTGTACTGCAATGGGTGAAAAATTATTTAAGTGACAGGAAACAATTTGTGAAGCTGGGTGTCCATTCCTCATCATGCTTGGACATTGCTTGTGGTGTTCCACAAGGCTCTGTACTGGGTCCAAAATTATTTATTATTTATATAAATGATATTTGTAAGGCATCTGATATATTAAAATTAGTATTATTTGCAGATGACACAAATATTTTTTGTTCTGGGGGGAATCTAAAGGAGCTGCTGGATACAATTACTTCAGAAATGTGCAAAATTAAAAAATGGTTTAACAGGAACAAACTATCGCTAAATCTAAGTAAAACTAAAATTATCTTATTTGGGAATTCCCTTAGAAATGCACAAGTGCAGATTCATGTAGATGGTGTGGAAATTGAAAGAGTACTTGAACATAAGTTTCTTGGTGTGATTATAGATGATAAATTAAACTGGAAGTCTCATATAAATCATATACATAACAAAATTTCAAGAAGTGTCTCAATCTTGAGTAAAGTAAAACACATTCTGGACCACAAATCACTCCACATTCTCTATTGTTCCCTGATTGCACCGTATTTGAATTACTGTGCAGAGGTTTGGGGCAATACTTACAAATGTTCGCTATCATCAATCTTTATATTACAAAAAAGGGCCATAAGGATAATCCATAAAACTGGTTACAGAGATCATACAAATCCACTATTCTTAAAATCAAAAATTCTAAAATTCACAGATCTGGTTCATTTTCTCACAGCACAAATTATATATAAAGCAATAAATAACCTGCTTCCTGACAATATTCTAAAAATGTTTTCTAAAAGGGAACGGGGATACAATTTGAGGGGGGAATTAAATTTAAAACATCCTCGTATCCGTACAACATTAAAAAGTTTTTGCATCTCTGTGTGTGGAGTGAAGCTGTGGAACAGACTAAGTAAAGATATGAAGCAATGTCCAAGCATGGCGCAGTTTAAAAAGCGGTTTAAGGATATGGTTTTTACAGGGTACAGGGAAAAGGTAGAGATTTGATAGGGTATTATCTATATTATATATATATATATTATATGTTATATATATAATTTATATATATATATATATTATATATATATATATATATATATATATAATATATACATATATAATAGGATTTCCTATTTCTCTTGCAAGTCTGTACATTTCTAAAACGCCTGTGGCCGGCACTTATGTGGCTTACAATTGTTGGGAAAAATTTGAAACTAGTTTCGGTTATGGCTCAGTTTTATTTCCCTTTAACTCATTAAATCTGAATATGTGTCTTTCCTCCATGTGGCACAGTTGCATAACCAGGGAATTCTCCACTTTTAGATCGCTCTAGTTTTGAAAGCTTGTGGGCAGCCACATCGAATCATTTATTCATGGGGGTTTCTCGCTCAGCTTTCATTAAGTTTGTGGGAAATGGAACACCTACACTATGAAGGCATTTCTCCATATGATTTCTACTATCAGGCATTGAGACAAATAGTATTTGTGTGAGAAGAAAAGGATGTAAAGATGCTACAGCTAAGTAGCTTTCACTAAATGTTGTAATGCAACACAAGGAAAGAAATATGCAATAGATGGTAAAGTTCTCAGGGTATTTATTTACAAAAACCAAAAATAACATCAAGGACAAAACATTCATTTCACTGTAAATCCTGCTGCCCATAACTTGTTTGCTTCACTAGCTATGCTTACACCATCAGTGTGCAACATAAGGCAACTGAAATGACCAGCTGGATGTACTGTGAGATTTCCCTTTAATAGAACAGTCTCTGAAATTATCTTAATTTATAAAATCCTCTCAAAATATTTCAAATTTGAGGTTATGGAAAAACAAAATAAAAAATGCAAAAAAATTAACTTGGCAGTAATTGGTCAATCCTATTTTGAATTATCTGCCTATACATTACACATACAGTCCTCAAACTTAACATCTATTTACAAAATCAGTAGTGGTATTTAGCGTTTTTGTCTTGCTTTAAAAGCAAATAAAGGTTCACTGTTTCATTATATATATCTGCATTGCAAATTTACTGCACTCAATGAAATCCCAACCCCTGAAATAGACAGAGCTTTACAGATGACAACAATATAGTTCACACCAAAACAACACAGACAGTACAAGCATATGACTGGCTGTTTGTAGTCTTTGTAGTCACCATAGAGGTACAGCATAAATACTTCTTTAAAAGGAACCAAATCAATAAATAAAAAAGTACATTAGAGAGAGATAAAAAACAGCATAATGTTGAGAGCTATCTGCATATCAACATTTAAGACGGACAAATCAGTTAAATCACTCATTGATTGGTACAGTATGTTTATACATTAGCAGATTTTAAAGATTTATGCCACAAATTTTTAAACTAGTGTGCTTAAAATTATTCTAAATGTATTAGTTTCACATTTAATCTAATACTGCTTTCCCGTTATTGGCTGCAGAACACGTGAGTGAAAAAAAGTGAGGTAAAAAAAACTGAAGGCCAGGGAAATTGTTTAAATTATAAGGCCATTTCAAGGTATTTACAATACAATGCTATCTTTACCACAAACTATGATGTTAAGTTTGGTAGGTAAGAGTGGGCCCTGGAGCAAAGAACACAGTTATTTGCTGCAGTTACACTTGTATTTTACCCAGAAAATAATCACATTAACAGCAATGTTAGAACTTTTTATCACATTGGATATTTTGTGACAAAATACTCAAATGTGATGCCAAATATTTTGTATAACACGTACACTGGAAATCTTCATTAAGCCAATATCGTGGTTGATTTGGTAAAACCATCCAGGCAGTTCACTTGTTGCATCAACAGTCCTTCACTCAGTCTCAACAGAGAGCACAATGGCACTGTCTTTACCGTGTATAACCAGCACACCTCGGCTTTAACGAGACAACTCAGACAAGGTAATATCTCATACAAATAAAACAATTATATTTGTGCATTTTGGAACAAAGGTCAGGTTTTAAAAAAAGAGGCAAAGAACAGAGTGGAAGGAAAGAACACTGTGCAAAAGCTGAGCCCCTCTGTGCATCATCCACTCCAGTGTCCTCCAGGTTTCTCTAGATATGCTGAACTCTGGCCTCACCGAGCAGCGGACTGGCCAGGCTTTTTCTCTTTTTTTCATCTTCTTTCTCATTTTCCTTCTCATCACTGGTCATGGCGAATGCCTGCACTTGTCTCATCTCCCAGAAGGATTGTGACTTATGGGAATGCTTTTGGAAGAGAAGAAAATTCTGGTCAAAACTTTAATACAAGTGTAAGAATGTATAGTATTCATATAATTAGTGATATTTAAAAATAAATCCAGTTTTGCCAAAACACAGATTTGCTTTCTTTTTGTTTATTCCTCAGTACTGTTGACGAGGATTATGTATAAAACTAAGACAGAAGACTGTTGTATAACAAATGCTCACAAGCAGCATTTTGGTTTAGTGCATGTGGATACTGTGTTTCGGAACCATCTGTAAATAGTAAACCTGTGGATTAAAGCGATAAGTGTGCAGAGAGGAATTCCAACCTGAAGATGGAGATCCAGGACACTACCAGGTGAGTTGAGCTAACAGTTCTGCACACGGAGCAGTGAAAATAAAAAGAACGGTATCAGTAACAAGTCACAGAAATTAGTGCAGCACTGCAGAACAGTAAAGCAGAGACTGTATTGGTCTATAGGAACTGGTCAGTCTTACAGAAGAGCATACATTTGTTGTGACTGCAAATTAAAAGAAAAAAGTGCAATGAACACAAATGAAAGCATGAGATCTTAGTATAGAGCTGGCTGATTACTCACTGATGAGGACTGCTGATTGTGTGATCGTTCCAGTTTCATCCCCTTTGCTCGATCAGGTTTACCAGGCCCTGAAGGATAGGTTAGCAATGTGTGAAAAGACTCATACCTGGTATAGACAGTTATATAAATATTAAATGATACAATATGAATCATTTATGTTTTGAAAAAAAAGAAAGCTTTTACTTGTTTTGCAGAAGAAATAGAAAGTCAACTTTATTACATGTTAAAGAGGTTGGATGAAAGACTATACTTGCTAATTAATATTCTGAAAAGATAGCTGCATATCAATTTCTCATTATATATTACACTTGTAAAAAATATTATTTTTTATTATATGTTAACATCCTCATTACAATCACAAAGCTACATGATTATTTATTAGCTTCTTATTACAATAAGTCATGAATTGAATGCATTAATTATGCATTGCTTAACCATGGGCTTTCTTCACTTTAACCCTTCCCTTTAAACTTTTAATACGCTGGACCTTGTTCACCAAGCTGTCTCTCTCACCTGGGGAGCTCCCACGACTGGTGCTAGTAGTGTTACTGTTGTTGTCCTCCAGCCAAGTGTTGTAGGGGAAGGAGTCTCGCTTATGTGGTGTTCCAGCAGATGACAGACTCTCCTGGAGAATATGGCAAGGTGACCAAGAAAACCAGATTATGTAGATTATAGTGAAAAAACAAAAATGTGATAACTTAAATACAATTTATAATTTGTGTTTCTACATGTAGTACATATACAGGATACACTGCTTACCATGCCTGTGTCGTATTCCTCTGTTGCCTCTGTCTCATTCTCCTCCACCACACTAGCAAAGCTGCTGGCGTTGGAGGACGAGCGGGAAAGATCGTGAGCCTCAGGGATGGATGCGGCCCTGCCAACAAGATAAGAACTACACCCTGGGTTAACAACTCCAACCTGATTTTATCTTATGTATAGTGATACTACATGTTAACCTAAGGGAGGATTACCCAGCAGTTACACAAATACAGGAATGGCAAAACATGCTATTTAAAATTTTCAGTGAGTGTCCAGGGGATATGGTAGGAGCCTGTTTATTATATATACCTGTTCTTGGTAGTTGTGAGCACCTCAGGAGAGCTCTGATTGGATGAATTGTCAGATTTGGGATCTTGAGAGGCGTGGCCACTGTCAGGTGTCTTCTGAGTGTTTGGGGAGTTATCTCTACTGCTACAAGTAAAAAAAAATAGTGTGAAAAATAGAAAAAAAAGTTATTTTATGTAGACGATGGTCTACAGGTATATGCTATGTAAATGATCACAGGAATCTTCTCCCACCTCTTCTCCTGGACTTCTTGAATGTTTTCAATGCCGATGGCACTGCTTCGCCGGGAGCTGAAAGGGCCAGACTTTTTCCTGGTTGGGCTTTTCCCTGGGATTATCAGAGACTGACAGGGAAAGAGGAAAACCGTTCAGGGACAATGCCAAAATATTTCCAATACCTTGTATAATAAACTAGGTTCATTTCAAGAGCTTATCACTTTAGGTATTTATGACTGAGGAGAGCTAATGGTTACTTTGACCACTGAACCATTCATTTGTCGTGTACTGTATCATAGAGAACACTTTGGCAAAACTTCAAAAACATATCATCCTGAATTACCAGGCTGAAGAGTAACACTGCTCCCTCCGAGCTGTCAGTATGATGAAAAAAAAGTTAAAATATGCTTTTAGCAGCTTAATGACAAGCCCTGGTGGCAGTCTTTCAGCCAGAACAGAGCACACTAAGGCGGGAGATGAAAGATGGGTTTAAAAGCTCCAGAGCCTAACACTAAATATGCTTTCTCAGCATCTGCTTTGTTCGTTCAATCTCCCTTTTAATGCTCTCGAAATGAGAACTTTAAAAAAAAAGAGGCTTTTATTTAATGTGGCTTCAAAGAGCAGTGGGGGTGCAGGGGGCGTTTTTCACAATTTCTCTGTAAGGGGCTTATTAAATTATAAATATTCATTATTTTTTAACAAATACAGAATTAATCACACTGGAATGAAACTATAGAGTAAAACTGTAGCAGGTGTGCACATACTGCAGTAAAGCAGAGAAGAGAATAAGAGTAGAAGCAAATACTCTTAACAGTTCATACATATATTAGTTTAGAAAATATAAAAGATTGGACTTGCTAAAGCAACTAATTCACTGGAAAATGGGCAGGACTATGTTCACAGACTAAAATGATGATGCCTTTTAAATAATATATCCTGTCTGTAGCACACAGTTTCTGATATACACATTAGGGAGCTGAAATGTGCAGAGAAACATGTTTGGCTATGATGCAAAGGAGCCATGCAAACAAGAAAAGGAAACAAAGACGGAAAGCAAGTAGTTGGAGAGTAGTTAGAATTAGACATGAACCTCTTCTACTGTTCCTATCCCTATGGCACTGCCTCGGCGTCCATATTTACTCGGACTTTTGCCTGGGACAAGCAATGACTGATAAAAACAGTGAGAAAGAAAGAGACAGAATAAGAGAGAAGAGACAGAAGAGAGAGTGGTGATGACATATGAAAAAACAAGGAGAGGTGGGAAAAAGGGGGGAGGAGGGGAGAGAAAACATGAGATATATACAAATACATATGAGATATCATGCAGTAAGTCATGTTGTCCAAACAAACTACGAAAGGCGTGTTAGCTGGAGAATACAGGGGGAGATATTTTGGTTCCATGGGTGCGACACAGGCAGCTGAATGGGAGAGAGTTATGTGAGCTGTATGTCTGAAAAAGGAAAAGGAAGGTAAATTCAGTGGAGGAGGGCACACAGCATGTTATACATTAGGAATCAAATCAAGACTGGCTTATGAACAAACAGTAAGCTCATCAGTCATACTCACTGATGAAAGATATTATATAAAAGTCTAATATGTCTAATACAGAGAGAATTAACTTAATCAGTTTATATAAGATACACAGTATCTCTCAACATATACCCTACATATAACAGACAGGCCACCATATGTAGTCACTACTGATGGAAAACTTGTAACTGTAACTAAGGTAACAGTCATATTTTACTTTCAACTGGGGAAAAAAAAGAAAAATAAGTGTCCAAACACAGACTGTATACAAAAGCTAAACCTAGTTTTCAAGGCTTTTTGATTACAAAAAGAAGTTCACTTTCATCAAAGTGTACAAGAAAACAGTCCTCGACTCCCTCCATGTACCCACTAAGCATGTTCTGAGTTAGGTGCCATGTTTTCTGATGAAATGATAAAAAGTGACTATTAATAAGTGGGAGGTAATAAGATATTAAGCAAGAATGGCATCCTTCCTTTGTGGCTACCAAGTGGCTACACACACACACACACACACATATACATATATATACATATATATATATATATATATACATATATATATAGGATTTTCCTATTTCTCTTGCAAGTCTGTACATTTCTAAAACGCCTGTGGCCGGCACTTATGTGGCTTACAATTGTTGGGAAAAATTTGAAAACTAGTTTCGGTTATGGCTCAGTTTTATTTCCCTTTAACTCATTAAATCTGAATATGTGTCTTTCCTCCATGTGGCACAGTTGCATAACCAGGGAATTCTCCACTTTTAGATCGCTCTAGTTTTGAAAGCTTGTGGGCAGCCACATCGAATCATTTATTCATGGGGGTTTCTCGCTCAGCTTTCATTAAGTTTGTGGGAAATGGAACACCTACACTATGAAGGCATTTCTCCATATGATTTCTACTATCAGGCATTGAGACAAATAGTATTTGTGTGAGAAGAAAAGGATGTAAAGATGCTACAGCTAAGTAGCTTTCACTAAATGTTGTAATGCAACACAAGGAAAGAAATATGCAATAGATGGTAAAGTTCTCAGGGTATTTATTTACAAAAACCAAAAATAACATCAAGGACAAAACATTCATTTCACTGTAAATCCTGCTGCCCATAACTTGTTTGCTTCACTAGCTATGCTTACACCATCAGTGTGCAACATAAGGCAACTGAAATGACCAGCTGGATGTACTGTGAGATTTCCCTTTAATAGAACAGTCTCTGAAATTATCTTAATTTATAAAATCCTCTCAAAATATTTCAAATTTGAGGTTATGGAAAAACAAAATAAAAAATGCAAAAAAATTAACTTGGCAGTAATTGGTCAATCCTATTTTGAATTATCTGCCTATACATTACACATACAGTCCTCAAACTTAACATCTATTTACAAAATCAGTAGTGGTATTTAGCGTTTTTGTCTTGCTTTAAAAGCAAATAAAGGTTCACTGTTTCATTATATATATCTGCATTGCAAATTTACTGCACTCAATGAAATCCCAACCCCTGAAATAGACAGAGCTTTACAGATGACAACAATATAGTTCACACCAAAACAACACAGACAGTACAAGCATATGACTGGCTGTTTGTAGTCTTTGTAGTCACCATAGAGGTACAGCATAAATACTACTTTAAAAGGAACCAAATCAATAAATAAAAAAGTACATTAGAGAGAGAAAAAAAACAGCATAATGTTGAGAGCTATCTCCATATCAACATTTAAGACGGACAAATCAGTTAAATCACTCATTGATTGGTACAGTATGTTTATACATTAGCAGATTTTAAAGATTTATGCCACAAATTTTTAAACTAGTGTGCTTAAAATTATTCTAAATGTATTAGTTTCACATTTAATCTAATACTGCTTTCCCGTTATTGGCTGCAGAACACGTGAGTGAAAAAAAGTGAGGTAAAAAAAACTGAAGGCCAGGGAAATTGTTTAAATTATAAGGCCATTTCAAGGTATTTACAATACAATGCTATCTTTACCACAAACTATGATGTTAAGTTTGGTAGGTAAGAGTGGGCCCTGGAGCAAAGAACACAGTTATTTGCTGCAGTTACACTTGTATTTTACCCAGAAAATAATCACATTAACAGCAATGTTAGAACTTTTTATCACATTGGATATTTTGTGACAAAATACTCAAATGTGATGCCAAATATTTTGTATAACACGTACACTGGAAATCTTCATTAAGCCAATATCGTGGTTGATTTGGTAAAACCATCCAGGCAGTTCACTTGTTGCATCAACAGTCCTTCACTCAGTCTCAACAGAGAGCACAATGGCACTGTCTTTACCGTGTATAACCAGCACACCTCGGCTTTAACGAGACAACTCAGACAAGGTAATATCTCATACAAATAAAACAATTATATTTGTGCATTTTGGAACAAAGGTCAGGTTTTAAAAAAAGAGGCAAAGAACAGAGTGGAAGGAAAGAACACTGTGCAAAAGCTGAGCCCCTCTGTGCATCATCCACTCCAGTGTCCTCCAGGTTTCTCTAGATATGCTGAACTCTGGCCTCACCGAGCAGCGGACTGGCCAGGCTTTTTCTCTTTTTTTCATCTTCTTTCTCATTTTCCTTCTCATCACTGGTCATGGCGAATGCCTGCACTTGTCTCATCTCCCAGAAGGATTGTGACTTATGGGAATGCTTTTGGAAGAGAAGAAAATTCTGGTCAAAACTTTAATACAAGTGTAAGAATGTATAGTATTCATATAATTAGTGATATTTAAAAATAAATCCAGTTTTGCCAAAACACAGATTTGCTTTCTTTTTGTTTATTCCTCAGTACTGTTGACGAGGATTATGTATAAAACTAAGACAGAAGACTGTTGTATAACAAATGCTCACAAGCAGCATTTTGGTTTAGTGCATGTGGATACTGTGTTTCGGAACCATCTGTAAATAGTAAACCTGTGGATTAAAGCGATAAGTGTGCAGAGAGGAATTCCAACCTGAAGATGGAGATCCAGGACACTACCAGGTGAGTTGAGCTAACAGTTCTGCACACGGAGCAGTGAAAATAAAAAGAACGGTATCAGTAACAAGTCACAGAAATTAGTGCAGCACTGCAGAACAGTAAAGCAGAGACTGTATTGGTCTATAGGAACTGGTCAGTCTTACAGAAGAGCATACATTTGTTGTGACTGCAAATTAAAAGAAAAAAGTGCAATGAACACAAATGAAAGCATGAGATCTTAGTATAGAGCTGGCTGATTACTCACTGATGAGGACTGCTGATTGTGTGATCGTTCCAGTTTCATCCCCTTTGCTCGATCAGGTTTACCAGGCCCTGAAGGATAGGTTAGCAATGTGTGAAAAGACTCATACCTGGTATAGACAGTTATATAAATATTAAATGATACAATATGAATCATTTATGTTTTGAAAAAAAAGAAAGCTTTTACTTGTTTTGCAGAAGAAATAGAAAGTCAACTTTATTACATGTTAAAGAGGTTGGATGAAAGACTATACTTGCTAATTAATATTCTGAAAAGATAGCTGCATATCAATTTCTCATTATATATTACACTTGTAAAAAATATTATTTTTTATTATATGTTAACATCCTCATTACAATCACAAAGCTACATGATTATTTATTAGCTTCTTATTACAATAAGTCATGAATTGAATGCATTAATTATGCATTGCTTAACCATGGGCTTTCTTCACTTTAACCCTTCCCTTTAAACTTTTAATACGCTGGACCTTGTTCACCAAGCTGTCTCTCTCACCTGGGGAGCTCCCACGACTGGTGCTAGTAGTGTTACTGTTGTTGTCCTCCAGCCAAGTGTTGTAGGGGAAGGAGTCTCGCTTATGTGGTGTTCCAGCAGATGACAGACTCTCCTGGAGAATATGGCAAGGTGACCAAGAAAACCAGATTATGTAGATTATAGTGAAAAAACAAAAATGTGATAACTTAAATACAATTTATAATTTGTGTTTCTACATGTAGTACATATACAGGATACACTGCTTACCATGCCTGTGTCGTATTCCTCTGTTGCCTCTGTCTCATTCTCCTCCACCACACTAGCAAAGCTGCTGGCGTTGGAGGACGAGCGGGAAAGATCGTGAGCCTCAGGGATGGATGCGGCCCTGCCAACAAGATAAGAACTACACCCTGGGTTAACAACTCCAACCTGATTTTATCTTATGTATAGTGATACTACATGTTAACCTAAGGGAGGATTACCCAGCAGTTACACAAATACAGGAATGGCAAAACATGCTATTTAAAATTTTCAGTGAGTGTCCAGGGGATATGGTAGGAGCCTGTTTATTATATATACCTGTTCTTGGTAGTTGTGAGCACCTCAGGAGAGCTCTGATTGGATGAATTGTCAGATTTGGGATCTTGAGAGGCGTGGCCACTGTCAGGTGTCTTCTGAGTGTTTGGGGAGTTATCTCTACTGCTACAAGTAAAAAAAAATAGTGTGAAAAATAGAAAAAAAAGTTATTTTATGTAGACGATGGTCTACAGGTATATGCTATGTAAATGATCACAGGAATCTTCTCCCACCTCTTCTCCTGGACTTCTTGAATGTTTTCAATGCCGATGGCACTGCTTCGCCGGGAGCTGAAAGGGCCAGACTTTTTCCTGGTTGGGCTTTTCCCTGGGATTATCAGAGACTGACAGGGAAAGAGGAAAACCGTTCAGGGACAATGCCAAAATATTTCCAATACCTTGTATAATAAACTAGGTTCATTTCAAGAGCTTATCACTTTAGGTATTTATGACTGAGGAGAGCTAATGGTTACTTTGACCACTGAACCATTCATTTGTCGTGTACTGTATCATAGAGAACACTTTGGCAAAACTTCAAAAACATATCATCCTGAATTACCAGGCTGAAGAGTAACACTGCTCCCTCCGAGCTGTCAGTATGATGAAAAAAAAGTTAAAATATGCTTTTAGCAGCTTAATGACAAGCCCTGGTGGCAGTCTTTCAGCCAGAACAGAGCACACTAAGGCGGGAGATGAAAGATGGGTTTAAAAGCTCCAGAGCCTAACACTAAATATGCTTTCTCAGCATCTGCTTTGTTCGTTCAATCTCCCTTTTAATGCTCTCGAAATGAGAACTTTAAAAAAAAAGAGGCTTTTATTTAATGTGGCTTCAAAGAGCAGTGGGGGTGCAGGGGGCGTTTTTCACAATTTCTCTGTAAGGGGCTTATTAAATTATAAATATTCATTATTTTTTAACAAATACAGAATTAATCACACTGGAATGAAACTATAGAGTAAAACTGTAGCAGGTGTGCACATACTGCAGTAAAGCAGAGAAGAGAATAAGAGTAGAAGCAAATACTCTTAACAGTTCATACATATATTAGTTTAGAAAATATAAAAGATTGGACTTGCTAAAGCAACTAATTCACTGGAAAATGGGCAGGACTATGTTCACAGACTAAAATGATGATGCCTTTTAAATAATATATCCTGTCTGTAGCACACAGTTTCTGATATACACATTAGGGAGCTGAAATGTGCAGAGAAACATGTTTGGCTATGATGCAAAGGAGCCATGCAAACAAGAAAAGGAAACAAAGACGGAAAGCAAGTAGTTGGAGAGTAGTTAGAATTAGACATGAACCTCTTCTACTGTTCCTATCCCTATGGCACTGCCTCGGCGTCCATATTTACTCGGACTTTTGCCTGGGACAAGCAATGACTGATAAAAACAGTGAGAAAGAAAGAGACAGAATAAGAGAGAAGAGACAGAAGAGAGAGTGGTGATGACATATGAAAAAACAAGGAGAGGTGGGAAAAAGGGGGGAGGAGGGGAGAGAAAACATGAGATATATACAAATACATATGAGATATCATGCAGTAAGTCATGTTGTCCAAACAAACTACGAAAGGCGTGTTAGCTGGAGAATACAGGGGGAGATATTTTGGTTCCATGGGTGCGACACAGGCAGCTGAATGGGAGAGAGTTATGTGAGCTGTATGTCTGAAAAAGGAAAAGGAAGGTAAATTCAGTGGAGGAGGGCACACAGCATGTTATACATTAGGAATCAAATCAAGACTGGCTTATGAACAAACAGTAAGCTCATCAGTCATACTCACTGATGAAAGATATTATATAAAAGTCTAATATGTCTAATACAGAGAGAATTAACTTAATCAGTTTATATAAGATACACAGTATCTCTCAACATATACCCTACATATAACAGACAGGCCACCATATGTAGTCACTACTGATGGAAAACTTGTAACTGTAACTAAGGTAACAGTCATATTTTACTTTCAACTGGGGAAAAAAAAGAAAAATAAGTGTCCAAACACAGACTGTATACAAAAGCTAAACCTAGTTTTCAAGGCTTTTTGATTACAAAAAGAAGTTCACTTTCATCAAAGTGTACAAGAAAACAGTCCTCGACTCCCTCCATGTACCCACTAAGCATGTTCTGAGTTAGTTTTTGATCTCTGTGTTAGGTTTTTAATCATCGCTTTCAGGTGTTATTGAATACAAATTTATGTTTATTTTGCAAATTATAGCTCCCATGGTTCTCTGGGAAAAATATAAAGCAGGGTGGGCCTTTCAGATTGGTCTTATCTTATAATTGCCAAGCTACTGAGTGCCCCCCAGTTTCATAATGGGACTTAGTCCATGCTCATGAAATCCAGTTAAAAAAACAACAACAACTCAAGGCTTTAAGAAAAAGGGGCACCAACCTCATGGTGGCTGTGTCTGTCTTATATATGCAGCATATATGTGCACAAGTTTAGTTACAGCAGTATTTCTGAATAAATTATTTAAACTGAAAAACACCTGAAAAGATTTACAACTTTTCCTCTTGATGACATAAATATCAATTTCCCCAAAAAATGAATTTAAAATCATTGCGTGATTATTAAAAGAAAAAATGTAAGCATACCCACACATTGTACACACTATCACACAAAGACAACTCCAACCCATGTTAGAAATGAAGTGATCGCTCATTAACAATGCAGATGCATGGGCATTTAAATCACGTGAACACAATTAGAAAAAAATGCTTTAACCCATTCAGCTTGTGTCCTAAACATATCCACTTTCATGACTGTTAAGTCAATCCGTTTTGGTAGTGGTAGACAATGTGCAACCTTTGCAAAGTGACAGTCAAGTTTAAGACTCAGGCATAATTGCTTCCCGTGTCCAAGTGTGCAGTCGCACTCTCGCTGTGAGAAGTTAGTGCAGCAGGCAAGTGAAAGAGAAGGGGTATGAACTCTGTTAGATCTGCAGAGGGGGAGGCAGAAGCAGCGAGGCTCACCTCGCCGTAAGTACTGGAGGAGTGGGACTGTACTTACTATCCCTGGGAATTTAGGGCTCTCTGCGGGGTTGTGGTTAAAGTTGCCGCTCAGGCTAGTGGAGACTGTGTGCGGCTTCTTGAAAGTAAGACCCATGGCATCCATAGACTGGCTTCTGCTGCGCATCACCCTCTACAGAGAGACGAGGAGGAGGAGATACATTCAGACGGTGCTGACCTCTCTGACCCCTTGGTATCACTGAACAGGCCAAGAGGAGCCTGGGGGCTGTCCCTGATCACTGACCACTACAGGCAGAGAGCACTGGCCAGATTCTAATTCTAACAGACAAGAAAGCGACAGAGAACACTAGTGTGCTTTAGTGCCTGAAGGAGGTTCAGATGAGTCATTTTTATTTAGGTAGGTGATAAGAGAAGAGAGTGGGAAGTAGAAGGGCCAAGTGGCTCACAGATGTCTGACCACACTGAGTCTAATCAGAGCCAGAAGAAGTTTAAAGCCCAGTGCACCTTTTTACGAGCATGAAATAATGTGGAGAGGCAGAGGCGTCTGATGATGAAAGGAAATTATCCGTTCCATCCACATTCCCCAAATTATGACACATGAAGATGATAGGACCATATAGATACGTGCGCGGTGGCACTGAAACGTGGCGAATCACAAAACAACTATAAAGCATGAAGAAGAAAAGCTGGGAAGCAGAGAGCGGTATGTTCCAGGAGGACAGAGCAGCAGAGCTTCTCTTCATTCAGATACAGATTAAGAAAAAGCTTCTACAGCTCAGTCTGCATATAGACAAGAACAGAAGAGAAATACTGCCAGAGAGAAGTCGCGCTCATGTTCACATAAAAAAACATCTCTCAACAGGTAACAATGAATACTAATTAGAGATGCCACTTTACAGGCTAATAATAAAATGTAATTTAATACTAAAAGTTTGACATTTTTGAGAAATATACTGATTTACATTCCTGTTGGGAGTTAGATCAGAAAATCAGTATCAGTCTCAAATCTGTCTGCAGTATAAAGTCACAACTAGCAGTGGGTTATCTCAGATCAGCATAAAGGCTAGAAACAAAGAGCATACTGGCACCTCTAAAACTTACTAATTAATACATTATCCAAGGGCAGAAATCGCTGGTTTTGTATGGAATAAAACGACTGAGTTGTCTGAGAACACTGTTTGCCTCTGAGGCAGGTGGAGCTTCTCTCTTTTATCAGTGTTTTTGCTAAGCTAAGCTGCTGAGCTTGAATTTAAATGATGTAAATAAGAAAGCTCCTTTTGTTTTGCTTGTGCAAGTAAAACATAAAACCCTAGTTTCTAAAACAAGACTTTGAATATGCAAACTAGCTTCAACTTTTTCTTTCTGAGAGTTCCAGTGAAGCTGTCGACCTGAAGCTCCAGCCTCCGCTTCTGCTTTTCCAGTTACCTTAAAAGACTCAAAGAAGCCTCCTCCTCCAGCATTCCCATTTTCCAGCTTGTCATCCTCTCCTCCAACACCCATTATGGCCTGGCTGTTTAAGTGGAGCTCCTCATAAAGAGTCTCCAACAAGGCCGATCGTGTTCTCTCCTGTCGCACACACACACACACACACACACACACACACACACACACACACACACACAGAAGTAAGTTTCTAGGTCAGCCTGGGAGCTGCTGAATTTGAATCTGTCAAAAGACGTAAAATGTTTTAAGTCTTTCT